AGCTGCAACAACCGATCGAAGGCCCGAGGACTGTGCTGGTCCCACGGAGGTGGCAAGCCTTGCACCAAGAAGAACTGTTCGCGCACGGCACTTAGTCGCGGGTTGTGCTGGGCGCATGGTGGAGGTAAAATCAACTCCTCAGTTTGCGTGGGTATCTGAACTGTTGCGGTGACGTCGACAGGCAAGCGTTGCGAAATCGACGGATGTAAGCGACCGGCGTACGAGCGAAATGGAAATTTGTGTGAAGTCCACCAGCCGTAACCTGTTCGCGCCGTCGATAGAGTCCACCGCTGCGCCACGTCGACCCTAACTTAATCGAGCCTGTTCCGTCCATGATGCGCGCACTGTTGTTTCTTTCGTGAGCGTGAGTGTATACTTGCCACAGGCGGGCAAATGACTGACTACCTTGTCAAACCTGACTTTGTTCGTGGGTGCAGAAGCCTGGGGTGATGAGGGCTGAGCTGCCGCCAGTCGTTCCGACACTGCCTGGGTGCCGCTTGGACCCGCCCTGGGCATGCATGCACGATCTCCTCGCCTGGGATGCTTGGACGTGCACAGGATGCGAGCTTGGCTCGAAACACGGACGGGGGCTGACCGAACAGCATGCGTCGATGGTGCGCCGAGCTGGGCGGCCGAGATGGGGGTAACAAATGTCGTGATCCCATGAAGAAGGCTCGCCATCGAAGTGGACGCTTGCGATGTCACCTCTTGCAGCTGTTGGCTCGACCGCCTTGTTGCGGTCAAGTGGTCAGCGCGATCGATAGCCCAGAAATACGCATGTTCTAGCAGAAACCAACAGAAGAAGGTCAGGATGAGTCGCTGGAAGCTCCTGGTGGCCACATACTCGATAGGAGAGTCGGGTCCCGACGTGAGAGAACATTCCATCCATGAAGAGGGCCAACACGATTGCGAGCACCACGCTTTTATGTGGACCAGATCACGGGATTCCCTTGAATCTTCTAAGCGCGTGACCCCACACTGGAGCATTTATATCCCAATGCCCATCATCGAGGACAAGACGCTTCGACCCCCTGCGATGTCCAAGTTGTCGCTGGCCTACATTTTGCACTCTACTCAGGTGCTCCACATCACCGCGTGTGAAGGGGATGTCAAGTCTCCATCACCCCTTAAGACACAGTCGCAGCAGTCGGCGAAGAGGAGATGCCGCATGCCTGACTGCGACAGCGCCGCCATCAGCCAAGGGGTTTGCATTCGACACGGCGTACGTTGTCGGCGCGCAATGTCCCCATCGTCGCTCATCGCATCTGCGTGTAGGGTGGTCCCCGCTGCTCCGTAGCAGGGTGTCGAAACGGGGCCAAGTCCCGCAGGTTGTGTTGGAAGCACGGTATGCATGACTGTCGCCGAATTGGGCCAAATGACGATCTCCGTTTCACCGTGCGTCATGTAGGCGGGTCCACCAAGTGCACGATCTCAAGCTGCAACAACCGATCGAAGGCCCGAGGACTGTGCTGGTCCCACGGAGGTGGCAAGCCTTGCTCTGCGAAGTACTGCTCTCTCACGGCACTTAGCCGCGGGCTGTGCTGGGCGCATGGTGGAGGTATGCACGATCTCGTGTCCCTAGGGTGAGCCCTCCTCTCACCTGAGTCGACGCCGTAGGCAAGCGCTGTGCAACCTACGGGTGCAAACGACCAGCGTACGAGCGCAATGGAAACTTGTGTACCGTCCATCAACCTCTGGCACACTCAACATCATGTACTTAGTTGCCAAGGGGGGGCAAAAAAGATAACCAACCAAAGCATTTGAGCATGTCATCACTCGATGCGCTATCACATGGGGAGGGGTCCTTGCAGTCGACGGTGCTTCTGGCTCGTCCGAACGCAATGCACATGGGGGGCAGCTGAAACGTGCGCTGATCGGCTCGCTCTATCTGTGGACAGCTCCCCAATACTTTGCGAAAGCAGAACACGGGGCCACCAACCCCCACAATGCACACCACCTCTCTTGTACAATCGTTTTAGGATGTTCTCGACGAGTGAAAGACGGTGTCGCCCATGAATTGGACGGCGCCTTGGCTACAAGTTGCGGTTTACTACTTCGGAGCAAGCGGGGTGTGCTCTGACAGCCTCGACGAGGCAAAGATAATGCGCCAAGTTCGCCCGAGATCTTACTTGCCGGGGCAGCAGACGAAACAAATTCATCGCGACCTTTATACCAAAACACGTTGACGCCTTGTCAAGGCGGTCAGGTGAAAATCTTCTTGCTACTTGGTGGACTACAGCGCGGCCATGTTGGGTTGGTTCGAGGTGCTAGTGCGAGCCGTCGATGCGGTTTGGTTTCTGCGGCGGGTCGTTGTCAGGGTAATTCACATCGCTGACACGGTTGGAGCTAGATTGCTTCAAGTCTTCACCATCGTTGCAAGCAGCTTGTAAACAGAGCCGTATGACGCGCCAGGATTGGCGTACGGAATCCTTGCGTCTGTGCCCTGCGGCGTCGAAGCAGCCACGGGAATGCGAAGTGTACGAATTGCAATATTCTACAACTTCGCCGATCCGACTTGCTTCGTGACATTTCTATAGGCGATGCCACTTTCGAATCCCCCCGACCGTCAACCCCGTCACCTGCGTGGGGGTGTCGGACTTGGTGGCAGGGTCAAACAACGCGTTGGACGTGCGGAAGTAAGTCCCGGGCACAGCAGCATGTATGCCGTGGCTCTCACCTCACGGTGACGACGGGGGCACCCAGAATGGCTTGAGTCGACGCCGTCGCAATGTAGATGGCGGCGGCTGTCTTCGCGAACGATTCGATCGTCGACCTGTCGAAAACGAGCTAGGCTCGGTCTTCTCGTGCCAAGGCGGCCACGTTGAGTCGGGTGAGACCACCCCTAGACTTTAGCGCGACACGAACACCGACAGCATGGGCCGATCTCGCGTGCGAAGTTTACGATGGGAGACAATTGTGGCTACCGTCCGACGCAATGCGAATGAACCAAGGCGAACCATGTTGTCTGGACGATATTCCAATGTGGCGTCTGCCGCCTACGTGCCTCCAACAACGCTCCGCTACCCCGTTGGGACAGGCTGTATGTATCTCGTTTTTTGCTCGTGGGAATCCCTAATTGTGTTGGAGCGTTTGCCCAGAAATATGCGCACAGCGCAGCGGGGCATGCGCAGGGAATCCCATTCGCGCGAGTGGCACAACCTTCATGTGGCTCCTCCAACTCACCCCAGTCGCTCGCCCAGCACCAGGCCCGTTGTGTCCTGTTCGGGCTCACAAAAATGTCAAATCAACGCCTTATACACTCGGTACTATTTGTATTCTAACTGCTCAAATTCGAGATTGCAATGTTATGCTGTTGCCAACACGGAGGCTGCCACCATGGCGACAGCAAAGAATAGGGCTCCCTGGTGAGCGAAACTTGCGGCGGGGGCCGTGGAGCCTCCCTGCCCTGACGGTGCCAGGGTCGTCTTCGAGCTGTCAGATGAAGGCATTGTAGTTGATCCGCCTACTCGCGAATCAGCACCGCCAATTCGCCGTTCGTTCGGCCCAACCATGAACGATACTACCTGAGGTTTCCGTAGCGTTTGAGGCGCCAGGGGTGGCCGGGGGTGACACGGGCTTGCCAGCGGGGGTCGGATCGGCGACATCTTTCTTTAAAAACTCGATCGTGTCTGCCAACGTCCAGCTCGTGCTCGTGGGGGAGGCTCCGTTTGGGGAGCTCGTCGCGGCTTGACCCCACGTCCACGTGAGCTTGTCTGCCGTTGCTTTGAGGTACCCAAAACCGTACTCGTTGATGTTTTTGCGGACTTTAAAGACGGGGTCCATGGACACCATCGAGACCGGTCGAATGAACTCGTTGTTGCCGGCCGCGCCCGAGATGATGAAAGGCGGGAGCTTGTACTTGCCAACGATGGACGCTTCGACGCTGTAGTACGCGTGCTCGTGGCCAAAGAACATCACGTCCACATTGTACTGGTCGATGAGAGGTAGCAATTGGGCAGCGAATTGGTTGCCGGGTTTGGTTATGGCATTGGGGATCTTGCTGGGGGGGCGGTGGCCGCACAGGACAACGAATGGTGTATCCTTCCGCTTCACGCGGCTCAAGTCGTACTCTAGCCAGTCGCGCTGGTCTTGCTGCATTTGACTCCGCGCCGCTTCAGACGCAGACCAGTACCCGTCGGCGCCTTGAGTCATGAACGCTTGGTCGCCATACACTTCCGTATCGATCACGGCAAAATGCACATAGCCAGCGTTGAAGCTGTAGAATCGGCTGGACCACGTCCCGCTGGCCCGCCCGGCGCCCGCAGCCTGTCCGGAGAACCGCCGAATGTAATTTGGCAGAGCGCCGAATATCGTGTACTGCATCTCGTGCTAGAACAGAGGACGTGAACACCACGCAAGTGCCAGAGGCTTACGTTGCCAATGGTCGTGTGCATGGGAACGACGGAAGTGAGCGGTTCAAGCTGTTGCATGTAGACATCGCCGGCGTTTTCAACCAGTTCGTACGAGAGATCGCCGAGGTTGAGGATGCCTTGGTACGCCTTGGCTGCCAACTCGGACGTTAGTGCTGGCAGCGTGATGCCAGACGCCTTCTTCAGCGCAATGGAGCCCATGTCTCCAAAGATAGCCCATGTCATAGACGTTCCTGCTCCGCCAGGCACGACAAACGACTTGGCGCTGCTCCCGCCAGTTGCAGAGAGGTCGTAGTGAACGACGGGGCCGAGCGCGGCGAGGCCGGACAACCGGGCGCTCCAGCACTGCACCGACAGAGACGGGGTCACAACAACGTTGCCCGCAGATGTGCCCTCTGCCTTCTTCGCCAGGTTGTCCTTGGAGCCGCCATAAAACACTGACGATGTCTTGTCGTCGACACTCGTGACCCAGTCCAGCATGAAATCCCCGCTTCCATCGCCCACGAGGCTGAGATGGAACTGAGGCGTCGATGGGGACGATGCTGCAAGGGTGACTTGGAGGATACTGACAAGCGCGGCGGACGCGGCGCAGCTGAGGAATCGCATCGACCCGGCAACGCGGCGGCAACAGCAGAAGTGGCCATGTGCAATGGGTGCACATTCATTGGGCGTTATATATAAAACCGCCAATCTACATGCATTCGACAACTTGTCCAATTGCGTTAAATTGTTTAACGCATATTTGCAAAATTGGCCTTGCGCAAGTCACAAGCGGCGGCGGTTCCGTTTGGATGCTACCCATCCTCATGGCACCCGCAGCGTGCGCATGGGGAACGGCTTGCGAGGTTGGTGGGCAGACCCAGAACCGCGCTCCCATCCTTCCTCCACAGCACTCGCAACCGTGCGGGCCACGACGATCCTCGCGGTTTACTGCCAAATTCACGGAGTCCTGCAGACGTGATAGCCTTCCACGTGAGACGCTAGAGGTGGCCGGCACGACGTTTGGGCTAGTTGCAAGCCTCTGTGTGGCATGCCAGTAGTAGCGCAGGTTTGTTCAAGCAGACCTTGTTCCCTTTCACCCCCTTCCTCACGCGTGCCTGTCGCTTCTACCTTGAACGACTCCAAAACTGGGTTGTGAGCTGAAAAGGGAGGACATTTTGAATGGCCCGTTCTACAAAGGCGACTCATGCGTTCCTGCAAGACTGTCGCATGCGAGGATGGGCTTGGCCGAAGCGTCGTTGGCGCTTACGGCCTTGGTGCGTACGCTGCTCGGATTCGGTCCATCTGTCGTCCGGTCTAGGATTCACAAAGATGGCGGGGTTCGTTGCCTTGAAGGTGCCGAACGAAAAAGTCCCACCGCTTACGTGTCCCGTACGGACTGCCGCCGGCGCCGTGGCCGCCCTTGGGAAAACAGAGCAGGTCGAAGTCCTTGTCTGCGTCGATGAGCGCTTGGACGAGCTGAAATGTACAGGCAGGGTCGACATTTGAATCCAGCATCCCGACAGCGAGTTGCAAGCGCTGGTGGGGCTGCAGCTTGTTGACGTGCGTCGCATTCGAGTTGGCAGCGTACACGGTGGCGTCAAAGGGGTAGCCCATCCAGAGCTCATTCCACCACAACTTGTCGACGCGATTGTCGTGGCAGCCGCAGTC